AAAAAAAAAAAAAAAGAAAGAAAGAAAAGAAAAGAAAAGAAAAAAGGAATACTTTTATGTTGTCCACACATTTAGCTTACTTGTAAGGTTGAGTTATACTAAGCCAAACACGCTGAAAAGGATTGGATCAAAGTGGAGTTTTAATTTATAGAAAGCATGCAGTGTTTAAGATAAAGATAAACTAAGAAAGCTAGCTTACATGGTTTATCTCCCTCATGGAGTGCCAAAAGCTTTCCATGGTGATATACTAGAGCAGTATTAGCTGGAAAAAATTGCATCAATCTTCACATCAGCAGTTGATAAACAAGTATGTCGAAACCAAAAAGGTATTTTCATGATTATAATTTAAAAATGAAAAGAAATAGATATATTTGCATATACAGTGCTAGCTAAGGAAGTACTATCCATAAAACTATAAATATTTTCAGAACCTTTTCCTATGGCCGTAAGTCAAAGAGACCCAGCAGGGGGAGAGGGATTGGGGAGAAGAGGGGGTCCAGGCAGGTACAGAGATGCACATTTAGATTTACGGTGGGAAAGCATGCGGAACTGACCCACCTGTACCATGTCCATAGGACATATCCAATACTTTGAGTTTTTCTCTAAGCATTTGCATGTTTACCATGACTAATCCAAACATCCCTCTCAGATCTCCAATCTGCAAATGATTGTATTTATGATGTAAAACTAATGGATGATTGAATTTATAAGGAACAGTCACAATTAAAAATTTTTGTTCCGTCCATGAAATCAGATCTTTAGACTCTAAAACCTGTAATGAATAATGTAATATTGAGATACTTCTATATGCAAATGCCCTATACATTTCATTAGTCTATAATATAGTCTCATTTAAGATATCCACAAGAATTAGAAAAAGGGACCTCGAGTCAAAACATGATAATATAGTTCTGACATGCTTGGCAGTTCCAATCAAAGCAGCTTCACTGATTATATATGTCAACCAGAAAAATTCATTAAAAAGGTAAAACTCCAAAAAAGCAGAAAAGTGTTACATTCAACTTAACTTTTATAATCACCATTTGGAAAATGTTGCTGGATGGAGAGAGAATATGAAAAAACAAAATCTATGATGATATGTTATTTCCAGTCCATACCTTCATAAACTTAGCCCCATCATAATACTCTTCTTGTTTAATGCGTGATGTCCTCACATAACGAGAAACATATGTTGCTTTTCCATCTTTTATGCGCATACCATGAATCATTCTGCAAAATAAGCAAACCCCTGTTATTTAACTCCATTATATATCACCACGAAGGAATAGTTTAAACTCTTGCGCATTGGAAATAAGTCAAAATATCAAAAAGGCTTAACAGAAAATATCAGCATATAAATACTTTACTGAAAGAAATAAAATAAGCAGAATTAAAAACAGATTGTCGACTTGTCACAGAATAAGATGCTGATTCAACAAAACCAATTCCAAAAGCAGACAAAAGATATGTAATATGTCATTATTTAGGACAAGAAGAAAACAGGTGGTTAAGCATAACTTCATCTGTTAGGTTCAAGTACGTATCTTTAACAGGCCTATCACTGATAGACAATGAGGATTTACGAAAGATTTGAAGTTCACTTTCATCCAACCTGAAATTGGACTCGAAAAATTTGTGAATTTGGAGGATATAATTATAAATACTTAACAATAAGATATAATTCCCAATATTAAGATTACTTAGGAAACCAGAAGACCTAAGCAGAAAGTTTTTAGTGTTCTAGATATTCAAAATCAGCAACAGGTTCACATTAATGTTTGACTGAAACGATGACATTATTGGTTCTAATCTCTAGAAGAACACAGTTTGGATCCAGAATAAAAATTTGTTATCACTGAATCAAGGCCTTCATGGGTACTCATCATAAGACAAATCCATCATTTGTTAATGGCCTAAAACTTAAAATGTAACTATACTAGATCCAACGATATCACGGACAAGGCTACCCTATTGCAGATTCATAGAAAAGAAATCAGACGTGTTAGGAAAACAATCTGCCATCACTAAAATGGTGTGATTTTTGTGGTAGAATTATTATTCCTACCAAGAAGAGATATGTCTCACAAGTAAAGTACAATCAGTAATGCCTAAACAACAGTATCTCATGTCAAAGTTTCAACAAGCTTGATGGTTTGAGGAGTTGTATACATTGCCCCTGTGAAAGGTAAAATGAAAAATTATGCATCCAAAGAAATGAATGAGGAACAAAAAAAAACGCACCCATCTCCATCAAACCTGCGAGAGAACAAACAAATATGAGGTTAGACAAAGTTTGTCACCAAATGACAAGAACTAATAAATCCCACCACAAAATAAGAAATAGGAATCAGATAAGCTATAAGGTAAAACGTATTTTTTTTATTTTTTAAGAAAGGCATGAAAAGAAAGTTTGAGACACGTAATAGGTTTTAGGCAGATAATGTCTTTGACTTCTCAAAATGAAGGAACAAGAAAATAACATGCAAGACTCTACAGAAATTAATTTGAGAAAGAAAAATGACTAACCAATGATATCCAGCAACCGGAGCAAATTTTGGGTTGGGACCAACCCTCACAAATTCACCATTCAAACACTCCTGCGGTGGGTATAATTTTTCACAAAATCAGTGTTGGAGACAAAGCACTTTAGCTTAAGCGCTGGGAAATAGGATGATAACATAATCAATTGAAAGCAAATTAAAGTAGATCTTCTTCTGCTACAAACACAAAACACGCTCCTGAACACTTGCTCACTGTTGTTACATGTATAACAAGTGTAAACTTGGGATTGACTAAATGAATTCTTTTCCACTATAATTAAGGAAACTGGATATTTTCATTAGGTCTCGTTAGGTATACGAATCGACACATCTTATAACTTTCTTTACTTAATCTACGCCTACCATTCGCTGCCTGTCAATTTACTCTCTAATTGTCCCGCAGTCACAGCTAACTTTCTTATAATTTGACTGCAACTATCCGTACTCACATTCCCTAATCTGTTGCTTATCCATATCAATTATTGAGCTTACAAATTCTTAGATTTTACCAAAATATAATGCATGAGTCATTAGCACAAATACATTGAAATCACAATTTAGACTCACAGGGAGGTGCCCTTTAACAGGAAGGTCCTGAAGAGGAGGAGTTTCATCAACGGGAGCAAAATTACCAGAAAGATAATGAAGGGGCTTTTTGGGACCACGCATTAGCTTCACAAAAACCCATTCCAAATAGTCCACGGCCTTGGAAGCAATGCCTTTACTTGGCTTCGGTTTCACCACCACAACGCCGCCGTCCTTCCTCTCTTCTTCTTTCTGCCTCATCTCTGGTTCTCAAATTTTCACAGTCAGTGCCGGAATTTTTGTGTATACCCAGATTTTTTTTTTATGTGGAGAATTTTGTAGGAGAGTGTGTGGAGTGTGTGATTTTGTTGATAATGTAGGTAGTAGATAGGAACCGCTGGCCATATTCTGGCTGAGAATTTTCTACGTATACCTGGAACTTACAGCTGCTGCTGTGTCATTCAGCTCCAATATTCGTTGAGCTTCATTTTCTACTTTTATTCCAAACCAATCGCTCTGTTTGATTCTGGCAGCTTGTGAAAGATGATATACTCTACTCACTTAAAACATGGGAAAATACTTTCACCCACCCAAAAATTATTGAAAAATACTGCAAATTAATCCTCTCATATAATATCAAATCAAAATTAACTGGATTAAGGTTCGTTCTCGGCTATCCAATTTTATTGAAAAATACTTATATTAATGCAATGGCGAATTTTGAAAGTTTTATACCACAAAATCTATTAATTCATTATTTTTGGAATTCAAATCAAAATCCATTCAATCTAAGAGCTTGTTTGGTGGAGATTTTAATCTAATTAAAATTAATTTTTTGACCGTTATTTCACTATTTCAATCATTATTTTTGAATTTTTCGCTCATAGGTAGAACTCACTTTATTTATAACAGTCAAAAAATGAATTTTCAAAATCCCTAACAATCAAGCACTAAATTATGTGCTTCTCAACTTAGCTACGTCCATTTTTCAACAACATTTAAATATATTTGCCCGTAATTCAATTTTTGCACGTTTTCATAGAATGCATTTTTATTACTCTCAAAATATCGTATATGGCAACTTGAACATTAACAATTGCGTTCAGTTGATATTGATTTTGATTTTATCGCACAATGAAGATATGAAAATCGAGTATGATTAAGGCAATGAGACGTGCGAGTAATATTCTATCATTCTATCCAGTCACATGCACCAAAAATATTCCTTCCTATCCTGGAAGTCGAGCGGTTTTGATGCTAATCAAAAGCAAAATCTTGACCATCTAGTAATGGAAAGCAAAATTACAAAGGAAAATAAGTTAAAAACAGTCTTCCTTCCCGTGCAATGTCCAGTATAACGTACCAAATATGGCTCGGGTCACATGCAAAGTAGGCAAGAAACTAGTCGTAGAAAGTGAATGCAGTAATACTCCAAGCATTTATCTTCACCACTGAACTATTGAAATAAAAAATAAACAAGAACAGCAATAAATCACAGCATAAAATATAGGATTGCATCAAATCATAAACTTCAGAAAGGGATATGACAAACCACCAATCCGGTATAGCAGAAACGGTAACAATCATTTATTTTATTCCAAGACATGATTGGCTAAACCTATTCCTTTTTCGAGTAGAGACGAAGAACAAATGCTAATCCCAATATCAATAAGGGCAGGATAAATAGCAGTATCTTGGATGAACTCCCCGAGTCCTGGTTTGCAGTTGAAGTTGCACTTGGAGGTGGGGTGTATTTCTGCTCTGATGGAAGAGTTGATTCATCAATCTCACCAATGTAGAATTTCTGCATTGTCACTTTTGCGTCATCACTGTGGCCAACATCTTCAAAATCATTTGTAGCATCTTTCTCTACAAAATTCATAACAAAAACTTATTATAATCCTAAATAGGGAACCAAAGATACTGATATCTACTTTCTTGTTCATACCAAATGGCTCTTAGATCTCAAGAAATATCAAAATGTTAAATAAGCTCCCACATTTTATGCGATAAATTGTAATGTAGACACACTAAGAAAGTGAGTTCGTGTTAGAGGGAATGTTGAGAAGTGTAACATAGAATCAGCTCTTACCAGTTGATGTTAGCAGCACTTCATCACCCCCAGGATGCTCTTCAAGAAATGGCGTCACGTTGTAGACCTAACGCAATGTTAACAAAAGGAGTCATGAAGTTCAAACGAGAATATAAATAATAATAACATGATTAGAATCTACCAAACAAATGCATACCCAATTACTATGTTTCAATTTAGTTAAACTATAAGCATAAACCCCAATTACAACATCACGTCTCTCCCATTTCATTCTTATACAGATAAACACAAGTTCACATCTTCTCAATCTGAAATGAAATGGCTGGATAGAGGAAGGTTCCTTTTTTTGTCATTTGTGCTCCCACAAACAGATTCAGTCGAGACAGGACCGGTCAGAACCTTTCGCTTTGTGCGCAAGCTTGAGTTTAAGAAGGGTTTTAGATGCCTGAAATTATCTTTGCATGGTCAAACATCCGACAACTTTAAGAAGCATTGCCGGAAGAAAATGACATTTGAAGTAGGTAACTGTCAAATGACACTATAAAAAGCCTTGCATGAAGGCAGCATTTTACATTAATTTGAGATTACTAGCATCTTCGGCCATTAAGAAACAGCCAAGAACTTGTACTCGTGGATTAAATATTAATCCATAACTTTGTTTGCAGTAATAGACAAAGCAAAATCATAAACACATAGATTTATAATGGTTCATGCCAATGTGAGAGTTACAAGTACTTAATTTAGAAGATTTTTCACCATAATGAAAAAGATTACAATGTTCTTCACAAAAGTCTTTCTGGTTAGTCCTCCCCTCTTCTCAAAATCCTTGATACATAATAGGAATACCTGGGTGAGCAGTAACGCGTGTGAACTATCCATTATCCAATATACCCCCAGTAAAAATTTCGTGATTAGGTTCCACATAGTCCAACACATACCCTTGGCCTTCACATCAGATCTACTTGATTCCTTGCATCTTACGAGCAAATATAAAAGAAGGAATGTATAAATTTATGTGTATTTAGAATTCTAGATAAATTCCAGCGATGTTTAAGATACTGTCTAACTCCTCCTCGACCGATCCCCACACATATATCGAAGGGGACTAGCAACTCAACTAAACATTGCCTAATTCTTATTTGAGTCATATGGTTCCTCAAGAACCATATTTGTATTAATAAACAGGGTTGGCCCCCATTTTTAACTCATTTTCCCCCATACTTATTTTCAATCACACATTTCATGGGACTCATGACTTTTATCAACCTTTCGACCATGTATTCATCAACTTTTATTAAAATGTACTAAAATTCAGATTTTTAACAAAACCAAACAGAGGCTGAATTCTAATGACCTAATTTCATGTGATTCTAACTCCCCTTTGTCCAGATTTGACTGTACCAATTTAATAGTCTAATTTGAATGCGTTAAAACCCTGTTAACTACTACGCGTACTTGTCTTCAAAAGTGCCACCTAAAACGCTTGGCTAGTAAGTCCTACGGAATTTTTCTGTAATCTTATAGGGTTATATAACGAAAGAAAACCTTTAGAGGCAATTCTACGATTTATATTTAGGCTTCAAAAGAATGTGAGGGTAGTGTAGTCTTTTTTTCATTTCAGGGTAACATAAGCCTCAAGTCTCTGCAATAAATTCCTAAAATTAAGTAATATTTGTGTAAGAACCCTCATTGTCTGGTCAAGCTTTAGCCTATCCAGTAGCTAGGATGTTATAACTCATAAATGAACTTGGGTTTCAAGGATCCCTCTTTAGTACAGATTTCAGTGGTTCGTTAGTAGTATTAAAAGAAACAAAACTATCATCGCTCTTCGAATAAATTCTCGTGAGCATCAACACACCACTATTGCGGTGGGTCCACTAGATCAATAAATGAAATCATTGCACATCTTCAACAACAATAGCAACGTGTCTAATCAGCTGAATTGATAGAGAGAAAGGTTTTGTATCTTTCAATTTTCAATAAATTATATTGATTGGCTTTTGCCAAAAATTTGCAGCATTCCATTTATTGCTTTGATCTTAACCCACATAAGGAAGATTCACAACTTTTACCTACATGATTCACTCACTAGTTATTAGTTAGTGAAGGAAACAATCCATGGATCTAGTTGTATACTGGAAGAAATAAGCTTTAAAAAAAAGTGTAAACATAAAAGGAAAAGAACTTTTAAAATTCCTCAAAAAATTTTTTTTTTTTTTTTTTGCGGTAAAAAATTACTTAAAAGTGACTTTTCCTGCCAGAAAAATGTTTGAAGATGGATCGTAAAAACCTGAAATATCTATTCCTTCTTTACCGAATCGACATTAATCCTTGCGCACAATCATATAGAACGATTTAATCAACCTAAAAATATATCAAACGGGATTCATGCTCTGAAATGATACTATCATGTACCTATAAAGTTTTCTTTCCCTAAAAAATAAATAAATAATAATAATAATAAATAAAAGAGGGAACCCTAGTTCAAATATCCTCTTCACTTCATTGTTTATTCCGATTCCGAATCAGATTATCAATCCAACTTAGATTCACATTTTAAATCACAGTCTTGTATATCCAACGAAAAAATATATATCAAGATTTTTCAAAAAAAAAGGAGAAGAAGAAGCAATTTTCATATAATCACAACCCAAAAGAAAGCCATAATCCACAAAAATAAGTGAATATGCAATGAGAAAACAAGTTGACCTTTCCAGAGATGATAAGCCAGCAATCATCTTTCTTGTTGTGACTAGCTACCTCCTCAAAGGTATGAACTTTGGGTGCCATTTCTTTGCTGCTGAGTACTCACCCAAGAGAAAACAAAGCAAAAACCCTTTTTCTCCTCCCAAAAATAAGTAAAAAGTTGGTTCTGGGTAATAATGAGCCGTATTTTCGTGTTTGAATCAATTCTTGGACCCTGTTATCTAAAAATTTCATTTTTTTTTTTTAATAAAATATTTTGTACTTATTTACGATTAAAAAAAATTATTTTTAACCAAAAAAATGACTTAAACAAAAACGTTACATAAATTGTATCGAAATGGAGAATAAATTATTGCAAAACTCCAATTTTGAGGGGAGAGGACAGTGAGAAAGGGACAGACGTTTGTGGTTCCTATTACATGGCTTATCTCACACACAGTTGACGTTACACTGTGTGAGATATTTTTTTTTTTTTAAGCCAAAAAAAATTATATATATATATATATTGTTTTTAAGTGATATTTCAACATTTTGTTAAAAAAAGTAGAGCTCAAAGTAAATAATTAATTTTATTTTTTGATATTTTCAACTTATTTACTATAGATTACATCATTTTTTGTTCGTTGCTAGATTGCATTTTTTGATAAATTTATGGAATGATTTTCCAAACGGTCCCTAAATAAATTTTTTAAGTTCTTGTTTAGTCCTATTAATTTTCATTCCATTACATTTTGGCTCCGTTTGGTAGTCATTTTTTTCAAAATACCTTTTTCTCTCTCTTCTTTTTAATTACATATTCTTTATTAAAATAATATTACTCGTAAATCAAAAAAAAATTTCTTATTTCTCAACCACACATTTCATATCAATTAACTATTCTAAAATACATTTTTATATAAAAATTCTTATCAAACACTCCCTTTATTTTTCTCTCTCCTATTTTTAATCACGCTATTTTCTATAAAATAATATTATACGTAAATCGAAAATTTCATCTTTTTTTTTAACCACTTATTTTCAAAGAAAAATTATTTCACCCATTAATTATCCACGTAATGGGGGCCAAACAAGGGGCAAAACAAATAGTAATTATCGAAACATCATCGACATATCATCACTAATTCGGTGATTTGAAAACTTTTAAGCTGTCAAATTTAATGCTAATTTAATGCTCGTTTGTGCAGGTGCACGGCTGCCAACTTCTGACAGTAATTAAATTCTTAATTGATTGAGAGGGTGTTTAGGAGATATTTTTATGTAAAAATGTATTTTTGAATAGTAAATTGTTGAGAAATGTGTGGTTGAAAAATGAGGAAAAATTTTTGATTTACGTATAATATTATTTTAATAAAAAATGTGTAATTGAAAAGAAGAGAGAAAAAAATACATTTTGAGAAAAATGAGTACCAAACGAGGCCTGAATATATGAGAATCGTGCATTATGCTCAAAGGTTTAATCGTGATGAAATTCAAAGGTAAGAATATTATATAGCTCTATGCATCACGAGGCAGTATGGAAATTACAATTGTGATCCTTAATCTTTGAGATGTGAAACATTTAAATCCTAAAGTTTTTCACTTAGCTCGATATGTATACAAATTTTAGTGAAAATCAAACATTAATTTTAACCAATTCAACATTCATAAATATTACTAATTATTATGCATATATTTCATGAGAGCCACTATTATTTCTCTTATTATTTTTATTTTCAAACATTTATAAATTTGATAGACGGAGGCTTTGTTCTATAAAAATCATGAGTAACAAAGTCAAATTTTGTACGAATATTTAAAATAAAAAAAAAGAGAGAGAGAAAATAAAAATACATCTTCTATTTTGTGCTTGTTTTGGGAAGCTTAAAAATTACTAAAAAGTTAAGCTTAAAGCCAACAAATAATTTTAACTACGTATTTAGTGATATTCGTGATCTTATCAGCTCTTCAGTTATGTTTGAGTAAAACTTTCAACTATAGAAGACAAAATCATTTTTTTCATTTTTTTGTTTTCAAATCTTTTGAGCATGAATTTTTGGTACATCAAATTCTGATCTTTTATTAGTTACTGGAATGTGTTATTTAAGCAAATCACTTATCAAGATTTGAATGTTTTGGCGTTTTGTATTTATGACCGGTTTTCTTGATCAACATAATACAGTTTTGAAGAAAATAATGTTATGTAGCATCGGTTTAGGTGACAGTGCGTACCAACTCATGGTCTAATCCAACAGTGCTACGTAGCATTACTCGAAGAAGAGGCCTGGACGGAGATTGAAACAGAATTGTCAAATGCTGCAGAGAAATTGGTGATTGGAAAACCATGCAAGTGAAAGGGAAAAAATGGCATATTACTGTTATCCTTTCAGATTTATACATTTTTATCTTGAAAGGTGGTTGTAATATGAGATCATTGAGATGTGTTAGTTTACTGCAAACCAACGGATTACATTGTTTATTTTGTTCGAGATGAAGAAATACAACGAACATACTCTGGACAACAAAAATATGGAAGTATTTTACAATGAAACTTTGATGACAAGTACCACAGGTTGGAAGAGGACTTGCTGGTCCCATATAGAATGAGACCAGGGATCCCACAGAAGTCCTCCAAGAGCGCCATATTCTTGAAGCCAAAACTATGTGATTGAATAAATCTTCCTCTAGGTTCAAGGGCTCCTTCTCCCTTCCCTTCTTCAAACTCGAATTCATATTTTTCATAGAAATTGTTAGAATCACCTTCTTCTAGAAGGATCATCTATAAAGCGATTCATTTTGTATGTATTCAGACAAAAAGTTGATATTGGAGCTCTAGCATTACTGTAACACAAAGATGAAACTAGTAATTTATTCTAGCTACTGAGTCCACTCATTACAAATATTATTAGTTTTTAGATTAGGCTTTGTTGCTAGAACTGGATTGAATGTTGGAGAATCGGAATATGTGCTATTTCACTAGCAGTTTTCATCATGAGTCAAAGATTATTCCATGACATATTTCAGTACTCCTATGACAAATGAAACACGAGAAGTCGATATCTCCTCTCTTTGTAATTTGTTAGCTTTGGTGATCTATGAGGTGAATCCCATTGCCAAAGTGCCATTTCCAGTGAGAGAGAGGTGGACGCCAGGATCTTGGTGAGTGAAAGTACAATCTTAGAGAACAGCGTTGTTTACTCCATGAACATTGCTATTAATGAATGCAGTCACCAGTGTTGATTGAATTGCCTTTTCTTTAGTGAGTTTGTCCTTATATTTTCCTAGTCACCAGTGTTTCTTTACTTATGTTCTTATGGAGACTCTGAGATTCGCCTGCTGAGTAATGAGTTTTTTGGGGAGGATTCAATTCCATTATAGCTCCTTTGTTGTCACCAGCAAGCATTATCACTTTCATTCTGAGCTTTTCACAATCAGAAAGTTTCTTGGTTGCACCTTATCTTTCTTTCGTTTCTCTTTTTTTCACTGCACGCAATTCTGTCATCATAAGCATTGAGCACCAACTTTGGATAGCCAATGGTTTTTTGGACTAGCACCAATTGTTGCTCGACTTCAGAAAGTATCATCGTTTCATTTGTAATCTCTTTGTATCAACGTTTCATGTGCAAATGGAGAAATCGGTACAGTCCAATTTAATGTCCTCATTGCGGTTAGGTTCTTAACATAGGAATTTGTCCTATGACAAGTTAACATTGAATACAAGGATAAAACCACCTGTCCCAACTTGGGGACAGGTTTAAAATCAGGGGCGCCATTCTTAACATGGGAATTTGTCCTATGACAAGTTAACATTGAATACAAGGATAAAACCAGTTGTCCCGACTTGGGGACAGGTTTACAAACAGGGGCGCCCGATAATTGTACTGCAAATGTCAGACTCTTTTCAACATTATTAATGAGCCAATTGCAGCTGCTAGTGCTGCTTATATTGGAGCCACCATGAAGCCATTTCTCGATGGCACATTTTGCACAGCGAATAATTACTTATTTTCTGTCTAAATCATGCATAATCTATGACACAATTGGTAAGCGTAACAATAAGAATCCAAGAAAACACAAAAATCTACTCTTTATTGAGATTCTGCTATGAAATCTGCTAAATGTTTTATCCCCTGCTGTCTGTGTCTTGGGTTTGCTTGTGGAGATGTGATTCTGACTCTTCTTTTACTTTAGGCATTTTCAGCTTTTGGGATGGCTTCTTCAATGGGCTTCCACCAAATTCAGGTGACTTGTCCTCTTCTTCGTTCAAATTTACTACGTCTATGATATGCATAGTACGGATTATTAGATTGGTGTGCACCATTTAATCGACAAGATTTTAGTTTCAAAACTAGTGAGTTTAAGATTTGAATGATTAATCCGCTATTCATTTTTGGTTATTCCTTTTATCCCAGATGATTTAGCATTGTTGATCCGTATATAGTAACACATATAATCAATATAAAAATTTGAATGGTTGGACTAAACAATCTAATATAGAACACTTATAGATTTCTTATTGAATACTAACTAATACTGTCTATTACCTTATCAAACATATCGTGAACGTACTTCAATACAGTAAGAATTTGCAAATCAAAGACCTTATCCAAAGCAGGGTGTTGTCTCTCAGAATTAAGTTATGAAAACCTGTGAATCTTCAAGGCCATTTAGTGAATTCAAATACTTTGAAGACAATGTCAATTCCAGTGGGAATCTGCCAAATGAAGAGGATTACATTTAAGGCATTCAATGCAATGTGAAGGTTTCTGGCTGTTTCATTTCCCTTTTGCATTGAAGGGACAAGCGCTGCAGCTGCTGCCCATAGAACTGTAATACCTGTTTAATGAAGTAGAACAAAAAAACTCAGCTCTTTGAACCTAAAAATGCATACTTACGAAATGTCGTAGAAACATATAATCATAATTGCAATTGTTAGACCAGCCTGTCTAAAAGCTTAAAAAGTAAGGGGCTGAAAGTCTGGCAAGTACACAAATTTCATAAATCACCATCTCATCTAAAAGTTGGGACAAATTTTGCTTACTTGAATTGTCAGAAATAAGATCAAATCCATTTATGGCTTGTTTCGTATGGTGAAAAGTGGAGAACTTGACATTATTAAGAAAGAAAATAAGTTAAAATCTTATACATTCTAGTATCGAATCATATTCAATAATGTATAATGAACATGCTCTTAGAATACGAACCATAAGTAGCCAAACTGTATTATAATATGGAAAGAAAAAATTGTCCTGCTGCTAATTACCTGCTCCTGCAAATAAATGAGGTCCTGGGAATAGCTTTCCTGTCCTGAACCATGTGTTGACCCCTCCAAATACGGCTTCAAAAACCCCAAATCCCAGCAATATGGAGCCAGCATTGAAGTGTCTATCCCTAAATGACCCTTTGATCAATTCCTTTCTTTCCTGAATATATGGAGAAAATGGCAATAGTTATTCCAGGATTACAATGTAAATCTTTTAACCTTATTTTGTAGTAATGGATTGTTAGCTATGTTAGACTCAGTATCGAACGTGATTAAACATGTTTAGGCATCAAAATTTCGTTCGATCCATTTAGAATTTCATTGTTGGGCACAGCGAATCTTTCTGGACAAGGATAACCACTAAACAATTAGCCATACGATATGATTAAGGAAGAGAGGCATATGACCATTGTTGCATCCACTTTGACATACCAAACATGCCATCATAGGCCATTAACACTTTTAACTGTGGATCCCAAATTCATCGCCTATTCGAATAACATAACTACTTCCTTAATGCTTACAGAACGTGGATTCTTATCGAACTTTCTCATGTATAAACAAATATTGCACATGCTTAGGCAACCTGTCTCAACAACAGAAACAAAACCTTAACCCAACATATTTAAGATGATTGAAGAATCATTTTTTGACATTTCATTTACTACATCCTCCACTCTTCTCATGATATAAGATAGAACTCTTTGCACTTCTTGGAGGGGACAAAACAGAATGTGTAGCATTGTTAGTTTTAAGGTTTAAAAGGATACCTCAGTGAGTTGCTGAATCTTGGCTTCAACAGGTGATGACTTAGGTGGTTCAGCAGGTGGGGTACCATCTGGGGTGACTGCAACTGGCTTCACTTGCTTCTTGAGCTCATTAATTTCATCCTGTATGGTGCGAACTCGCCTCCATTGCCAACCAAGATAACCAGCATACAATGTGTACACGAACAAGCCACTCATAACAATGGGATGAATCAGGGCAAATGATCTTCCTTCAAGAATCCCAAATTCCCCTCCAACAGCAAGTGCATTCTGTTACACCATTCAATGAAAAAGAGAAATTTCTCAGCAATGAAACATCAAAAGGGGACTAATTTCTAGTTGAACATAATTAAATTTTTCCTTCAAAATGCCCATCACGTGCACGTAAGATTCATTGTTTTGTTCAAGCCTTGTTGCCACTCATTTGGCATAAATTGTGCACTAGTTGATCATTTGACGAAAAAAATGAATCTTTATCGCACGCGAAGGGGCATATTGAATGATATGTTCGTGTTTAAGCTTTTAGAGAATGTGGTTCATATATTCCGATAAAAATGAAGGACATGCCTCGGTGTCTAGAAAGAAAGGCACTGCGATTGCTGCGAAAGGAAGAGCATCAGATTTTAGGTGGATTAAGGTTTCATTTATGAGTTTTTGTGGGGTTTTTTCAAAATTTATTTTGTTGTTGGGAATGTAAAGTTTAGTTCTGAATTGTTGGTTTTTTGGTGGAATAATTGGGTGTTTAAGGAGGCTGAGTGTGGCTGCCATGGATCCCTATCGCTCTCAACACACGCTAGCCTGGTGCATACAGAAAGAAGGAGAATTTGGAAGACAGGTTACAGTGTGGGAGACACAACAGGAATTTGTGGAAAAAGATAAGGAAGATATAGACTAGCTTCTGTGTCCACACAAAAAAGTCCTACTTGTTGATGCCTCATTTGATCCTCTTTTTTATGTTAGAAAAACCGGGTGGCAGTTCTACACAGCAACCTATTTGGGAGTAATTTTTTGGTCAAAAAAATTGATTTTTTAACTGTTATTTTACTATTTCAATCGTCATATTTGATTTTTTCTCTCACAGATAGACCTCACTTTTTTCCTAACGATCAAAAAATCAATTCTCAAAATCACTCCCAAACAAACTCTAGAATTGAAACATGTTTTTTGAAATGTTGTCTTGTTGCTATCTATGTGCTAGATCTTTTACGAAAAATGAATCTGGCCTATACAGATCGGAAATGTGTTGATTATCAATTTCATGTTCCTCTAACAATATTTTAAAAATATCTCTATATTGATATGATAAAAGTAAAATGGTCAAAGCATCGAATTGATGATAAAAAATTGGTCATCTATCTTTTGTATTTATCAATTCTGGTCCTCTCACTTTTTAACATGTTGAAGTTGGTCCCCACCTTTCACTTCATCCACTTTAGTTCTTTAACTTCTAAAGATGTACAAATTGGTCCATTCCAGGTTTATGTACACCTTTAGTCCCTCGAAACTATTTCGGTTCTCCTGCAGGTATGATCCCTGAGCTTCAAATGCGTATAATATTTTATCCACATTTTTGGTGTTGTGCTTTAAATTCAATAATTGTTCCATTTGTATATCATTGGGACTGAGGATATATTTGTAGAAAAGTTAAGCTCTCTCTCTCTCTCTCCCCCTTTTATTTTTTATATTCGCAGTCGTGTAGTTTTTTTTATTTTTATTATTATTATTATTATTAGAGGAAATATCACGTAATGTCCATTTTTAGTGAGTCATTTGCAAAAATGTTCACAATTTTGTCAGTGTCCATTTTTCAATTATGTAGACGAAAATACCCCTATTAGAAAATATTATTTCCACACAAGAATTCAAAATTTTTCATATCATTATTCATGTCAATCAACGTAGAAATGTCAATCAGCATTAAATGCCTGGGTCGGGTCGATGTGGGTAGAGTTATGGGTCGAGTAGGTGCAGATCGAGTTGGATCGGGTTATGGGTAAAAAATGGAAACCTGATGAACTTGACCCGAATACAAAAAAAAAATGAAGGTGGGGGAATGAAAAAATAAAAGAAGCCCTAAACTAAGTCCTCTCAACTCTCACTCTCAGTCTCTCAATCTTCACTCCGACCCAACCTGCCGATAACGAGCCTGTCCATTTCTCTCTTATTTTCCCAATTGTCGTTTGCTCACCACACTTCAGAGTCCAGTGCTTTAGAATAAGTTTATTTTATTATTTTTTTCTTTATTTCGTTATTTTTTTCACTTCCCCAAGTCTCCCCTCTTCTTAAATTTTAAGATTTAGCTAGTTTAACATAAATTGATATCAAGGTCACTGAGTATATCGATTCTATTGGGCGAGCAAATACTAACTGTTGATACAATTTGAGATAAAAAGTGGTACATGTGAAATACTGTCGAAAAGGTTGAAGAGGTAAAGTGTTTAAAGAAATCAGGAAAATGATTGTACTTTCTGTTGTCCCTGTTATTGTATCTTTTGTTTTGAGATATAATCTATATGTCAACTAAATTTGATACTGCTAGATGATAAATAACACTAGTACGAAGTGAAGAATACTCCATTTGAGGCATATTTCGCATCTAAGTTAGGCAATAAACATGATGAAATGACACAGGTTGTGTTGCTATTATACACTCTTAGACTGTTTGAATGCTCATCAGCAACTAAATGGCTTCATTTTCGAATCAAATTTGTTCTGCATCTTGTTGAGGGTTGCATTTGTATATTGATGGTTTCTTATGGAGGAAGACTGTGATAGGTTGATAGTAGATAGAAAACTTTATCAAATCTTATGATATGTATACTTGATTTTGCGTATAGTCTGTTGTAGTTGACTCTAAATTCATTTAATACAAGGCTATGTTGTTGTTATTTATTTTGCTAAAGAATATTGCATTTTCGATTTATTTGAATATCTAAATTAGGCAATTAACTTAATGAAATTGTAGAAGATTGTGTGTATACTTTTGAACTGTTTGAATGGTGATCAAACTGTAAAATGGTTACATGATAGCTTCAGATCAGAAGCCAGGTTTGTTTTAATTTCAACAATTAAACAACATAGTTTAGATATGGTATTTTATCAAACCATTGTATTGTAAAAATCATTTTTCTTTCACTGCATTTTAACAAGAATGTTATATTTGATTTCATTTGTACGTTCTCATGCTATTTGTTAAAGTATTGTTTTCATTTGTTTTGATTTGTAGATGAGTATGACACACCGATATAAAATTCCGGAGGAAGAACGTGTTCCGGCCTATGTGTCACAAGTGAGCAACACAAAATATATATCAGTTGTCCTCAACAAATTGGATCCACAGCAAAAGCGTCAGTTGGAGTACAGTTGTATAAGACATGTTGCAAGGTTACCAAAGCTGAAACTATCTGCTCAATTAATTCATGAAATGGTAAACAGATCGGTGGTATGCCGAAAGCAGTTTGAGGCTTGGTTCAGGGTGAACCAAAGATTTGCAAGATTTGGACTGTCGGAGTTCACACTAATTACTGGCTTGAAGTGCAGTCCAATGCCTAAAGGTGCCGAAATTGACAAAATCCTAGAGAAAACCCGTCTACAATATAAAATGTTTACTAATATGGACCGGATAACGTGTAGCGACCTAGAGAAAGTTTTTTTGAAATGTACCAACCGTAACGATCGTTACAAGCTTGGGTTGGCACTAATTATTGAAGGGGTATTTAATTCAAGAGATCGGAATAAATTCGACAACTCTTTCTATCGTTGACGACTTGAATTTTTTCAATGCCTACCCATGGGGGACAGTATGTTTTCAACTTTTCATCAAATCACTACTATGTGGATGGGGAAGAAAGGCGGACATGGTAAAAGTGAATGATTGTGATAGGATGACTTGCACATTGTACGGATTCCCTCTTGCTGTCCAGGTATACATCTATTTTGGTTCATTTCAGTTCTTCTCATTGCTCATTGTTATTTATCTTCAAATATGGTTATTACTGTTACAAATGACATGCAGATTTGGGCGTACGAGGCAATTTCGGAGTTGGGAGCTCGATTCTCGAGTAAGACTTGTGACGATGTCCCGAGGATGTTGCGGTGGTCTAGCACGAAACAACCTCATTCCCGGACATATTCAGATTTTTTTTAGAAGACAAATGTAGGCGATTTACATACTTAATTGTCTTACACTTCGCAATATATATTTTTTCATTTCGCATATTTTTCTTCTCCTGTAGGTGCACTTGTGGGCAACGCTGTGTGCAACTGCTGGAGAAAAATTGCAGTTGTACTTCGTCGATCTAGTTCTGTTGGAAGATGCAGTCGACCCCGTTCTAGATGGTCTTGTTGCTCAATCAATAGAAATACAAGCTTATCCAGTTGAAGATGATATCATACGGAACGATGACAACAACCATCGACCAAATAAATCCCAGAGAGGCAACATAGGTGGACCTCTTCATCGAGGTTTGCATCACGTTGAAGGCAGAGAAGAAGAGCATGGGGATCCGATTGTTGAAAGACTTGTGTCTTTAGATGAGATAAGAGTTATCTTGAATGAACAACGGGAGGCATTTGGGAGCAAGATGGGGGATTTGAGGGAAGAAATGAACACAAGATTCGCTAGTCTCCAAAATGATCTGGGAGGTCATGTGTGTGGTTTGAGAAATCATGTCACTGATGAGATGAATGTTCTTCGACGAAGGTTTGATGAAGTTGCTAAGAAATTGGACAACACAATGTTGGTGCTGAGTATGGTGGATTTGGTCATGACGATCGTAGTGGAGACGAGCCTCGACATGATGTTTTCACTCCCAATATTTCTGCGAACAGACAGGATGTCGTAGAGGCAATCGAACCAGTTGTTTGCAATATCCCTGATGTGTCCATAACGTTAGGAGGTGGGGTTGGAGTACTTGGGTCAGTATATGTTGCTTGTGATATTGTAAAAGAGGCACCAGCCGTTGTACCTACAGTTGGTGTGACCATTGATGATCAACTGTTCATGATAGCGTCGTTTCTGGACCTTCGATGGCAGCTGATCCACCTACACGTAGACCTCGATCGTTGAGGCTGAAGAAGGCTAATGCAAACAAAAAGACGCCATATACCCGATCCGGTCACAAGAGGGGTAAGAGGGATGCGTAGAATTTAGAGGTTTGCCTATTTTGATTTATATGGTGGTTTTTCAATATGCATTTTGGTTTATGTCGTGGTACGGAAAATTTATTTTGGTTTAGACAGTGGTTTACATATTTTTGTTTATATGGTGGTATGTAATATTTTGTGGATGCAAACCGGTGGTTTATAAGTTAGTGACATGTTTCGAATGTTGTATGTTGAAAATAGTTTATAACTTTATTATCTCATATAGTGGAGTAGGAGATGTCAATGTTCTAATGAAATGTAGAGAAATATTATACTTTAGTTGAAATGTCGTTCTATACAAATGTACTGTCAAGTATCCAGATTAGCAGACATTTAATGTCGAGAACTACACATCAAATGTCAAGAAATGAGTGAAATGTCAAGAAATATTGTTTCAATATAAATGTTAACGTCCCTTATATATATTTTTTTAATAATATGTGAACATATGTGTCATTCTGTGTGATCGTGTATGTGGAAATAAAATAAACTTCGTGCTACTTAGCAATTAGTAAGGAAAAATTGATTAACTCGGTTAGCTTTAATAAATTAAAGAAATTTATCGAACATTTTTTTTTCAATATAAAATTTGAATTGTACAAAATGTTAATTTTTTTTTTTTGTGTGAATATAAAATTTTAATGGAACAAAATGAATTAAAAAGAAATTTATAATTTGTCAAAAACTTTCAAATTGCAATACAAGAAAGTTTAAAGAAACCACTGATATATATATATCCATAATGTGTGAAAAATATTCAATTATGACAACACAACAAGTGAATATATTCACTATATACAGAATCTATCAACAACATTCAATTATCGTAATACGATAAAATGGTTCTGACATTTACTCACATGCACACTTTTAGCTACTTTTTCTCGTTCACTCATTATCCTCACATTCACTCCCCCATCCACACATTTAGCTACAATTATTTGTCACATTCACTCACTCTTCACACGTTTTAATTAATTTTAGCTCTTTCTTCTCATTCACTCCCCCATCCACACATTTAGTTACAATTGTTTGTCACATTCACTCACTCTCCTTCACTCAGTTTCTACACATTTTAATTCAAGTTTTATTCTCACATTCATTTAGCCGGAAACATTCCCACATTCACTCAAAAAAGACGCTCATTTGATCGGAAAATGTAAATAATTCAAAATTTGTATTTAATATTTGTGCTACTTAGCAGTTAGTTGAATATCTTGAAAGAAAATATACTTTTAAACTATAATTTATTCGACAAACCTCGTCTCCGTGACACTATGAGAGTGTCACGGAGCAGTTGGCTCCGTGACACTTTCATAGTGTCATGGAGACACATAAATGCAACCACCATTTTTTTTTGTAATTATTCACCCAGTATGTTTTACGTCATATGTAAACAAAAATATTACATTTTGTTTAAGATATTAATTTTTTATTTTAATTTTGTTTAGTATACAAGACTGAAAAAAATTATATTTGTTTGAAAATATTAATTCTTAAATAATTGTACAATTAACAGTACTTTGTTTTACTATAATAGATGTGTACAATCAAATAAAAATATTAAATCTTGAAAAAATAATTACAGTTGTTTAAAAATATTAATTCTTGTATAATTGATGCAGATGTCTTTAGAATATGTTCTCTCTCCAGAACAGTGGTTTTCTGCTACCATCTTTCAGTATCCAAATCGTCAATACGTTCAAGATTTTGTAGATTTCATAGATGCAAATTAACAATGTTATTTGATGTGTAGTAATTTTTATGGATTTATATATGGAGCTGTTTTCAAAGGAGACGAAGAACAATTTACTAGCAAGTTGGCACACGAATTTATAATGAGACTTGTGCATTGTGACAAAAACAATAAACTTTGGGTACGGTTAGATGACCATCTTGCTAGATTTGGCTTGCAAGAATTTTGCCTCATTATTGGACTACCTTGCCATGAACCATTCGTAGAACTTGATTATAATAACGATCGTCTTAGAAATCAATACTTCAATGGCACAAAAAAAATTAACAATAGAATGATTTTTGAAACTTTTCACATGCGTGAAGATACAGAAGATAAATTTAAGTTGGGATTAGTTATGTTGGTTGAGTGTGTGTTGAAACCGACTTCACGATAAGTTGATTATAGAACTCTGGGCATGGTTGAACATCTGGATGAGTTCCTTACGTATCCGTGGGGCCGGATAACATATTTCGTTTTGTTAAATTCATTGAAAGAGTCACAATTGGAAAGAATACTAAGGATGCAACAGAATGGACAAACAGAATGTAAGTATGCATTACAAGGCTATCCACTCGCATTTCAGGTATTATGTTCCTATTCTAATTACTTACGTATTGTGTATAATTTCTTTGTACAAAGAATAAAATTTATACATCACATTTATCTTTCTTTACGTTGCAGTATTGGATATATGAAGCGTTTCCATGAATTGGACAAAAGTTTGGTCGCCATAAATACAGAACGGTGTAGATTCCACGAATCTATAATTAGAGGCCTAATACTATACTGAAGGAATCGGTTGTTAAGCAATTTTTGGATACTCAAGATGTATGAATTTTTTATTTTCAATGTAGAATGACATTCGCATTTTATTATTAACAAGTTCAATTAAACAAATGGATTCTGATATTTTGTTATGATTACAGATCAAAGTCGTTGCAGTGCTGCAGCCTACAGAGGAAGAATTACAAACACCCTGGTACACAAATCTTTCACTGCCGGCTGACGATGAACATAATATATTAGATGCCATTGTCACTGGAGAAGTAGATAATGTAGTACCACAAATACCGGATAACATCCGTGTGCAAGAAACGACCAGTCGTGGTACATCGAGAACTTCAACTGGAGTTGGGCCTAGTTCTGCTTCTGGTGCCTCCAGATATGTAACTAAAGACCGAATTGAAGAAATGTTGGGTATGTACAGGTAACATACGATATCAGATGTGTCCAGTTTGTGTGGCAACTTGAAGGGAAAATTTGTTGAAGAATCCAGAGCCCTGAATCAGGATATCCTTGAAAGCCAAAAGCAACTGTTCGAACAACATAACAAATCGATGCAAGATTACATGCTATGAAGTATGTAGTCATACATGTATAATTCTCTATCAATATGTTTAGCACTCATATGGCCCAGGAATCGCAACAACAAGAAGTCCATTATCAGGCGATTCTTCGAAAACAAGAAGAATTATTCCAGCAGCAACAGGAGCACATATAGTCTTATATTGATACAAGTTTATGTTCTGTCAGATCTTACATTGACGAAAAGAATGAGAATATGCTAAACAGATTCTCTAACTGGGAATCCAACATGGAAGCCATTATAGGTTTCATGTAGCAGGATGTTCCTCTCCATGCAAGTCCAAATCCTACTGTTAAGCCGCATGAGACATCAACGTCTCAACCAGCAGAAAGTGTTGACATGCGGAGAAGAGAAAGGGAAAAGAAGATGAAATACACACAAATTTCGTCATCCACAGGCCGTCCCTTAGAAGACTACGATGAACAAGTACAAAAACATTAGGAATTGGATATCGAGAAATCAATCTGGGTAACAAATGTAACTCATTTTGAATAGTCCGAATGCTAAAAATTATTATATCTATGTCAAAAATTATTTGTTGAATTATTTAACAGTAATTTAAATTATGTTATATAGTGCATATTTGGACGATGGTCGTGGCAATGTCTATGGAACAGACATGCTAAAAAGTTTAATGGATCCGACGAAGGATCTAAATATTGCGGTGAGTGAAGTTTTGCAATCACAATAAATTTGATTTCGTAGTTAATATGTCAATATGTATTACATATATTTATTGCATTAGCATATTGAGTTAGAGCTGAAATTATTGAGGTAGCGTATGAATGAAGATTGTACTTGCGTCAATAAAAAATATGCAATTTTGGATTTTCAATTTGAAGAGGAGTGTTGTCAGCAAATGAGGTGGCACATGGAATATAACCAGAGAGGTGAATCGGATGGAACTCACCTACAAGGCTACGTCAACGGTACATTGTCTGTAGCTGGTCGTTCGTGGATGGGATGCAAGTATTTATTAATTCCAAGTTCATATCCAGGCAATGAATGTTATCTGTTTCTGGTCAATATTCCTGAATGAAAATTCTACATATACGACTGCAGCAATAATGTTCACACAGCTGATGCAATCAAGGCTCACGTAGAAGCAACATACACAGTCGTTCAAACATTATTGCAGTGTCTACCCCTGTCCACCAGACGAGATATAAAGAAAAATATAAATGATCCAATGAAGATGGAGATTATACCTTATCTACCGTGTGCGAACAATGGGTGAGCATTTCAACTCTTGCTATTTACTACCGTAGTTAATCTATTGTATATATTAATTTCAACTAACGAAAATTTATTTATTGTATAGGCCAAATTGCATAATGTTTGTACTCAAATATATAGAATACTTCGTTCTCGGGCATCCAATAGAATTAGTTTCAGTAAAGAGGATGTCAATATACAGAAGAAAGATTGCGGTCAATTTTTTGAATAACGAATACTTTCTTTACCCCCGATAGTGAAAAAGTTGTCGTGGCTTAGCTGTACTTTGCTTGTGTGACTGTTGATGAGCAGCCGGTTCATGATACCATCGTTTGCAATATGTATTTTGCTTTATGTTGTGGTACATAACATGAATTTTGGTTTTATGTGGTGGTACGTAAAATGTATTTTGGTTTACACAGTGGTTTGCATATTTCGATTTATACGGTGGTATGTAATATGTTCTCGAATTGTCATTCTAGACAAATAAAATATCAAGCGTCGAGATTCACAGCTATGTAATGTCGAGAACGACATATCAAATGTCCGGAAATCAAAGAAATGTAGAGAAATATCGTATTTTGGTCCAAGTGTCGTTCTAGACATTCGTAATGTCAAGTGTCGAGATTAACAGCTATTTAATGTCGATAACGACGTTACAAATGTCGAGAACGGCATCAAATTTCAACATAAATATAATCCAACCAAATTTAACTAAGAGTGAAGGCAACCAAATGGTGTATTAACTGTAAAAACTGCAGCAAGCAGGTTTATAATTATTATAGCAGTTAAAGTTGGTATACCAAGCACAAGTACATTCTCAACCATACTGATTTGAAAAAAGTTGTAAAATAATCACCATGAATGACTTCAACCATATTGGTTGGTGAGATATCTTATCGTGAATTCAACGGACAAGTGTTTCTCCACTATAAAATATTGGACTTTACTTAAATATAT